GGACATACTTTGCTCGTATTGACACTCAAACATACTTTGACAAATATGCTGCTGTAGAAAATTGGACCAATAAGGAATTTTACATAAAACCCATTAAAAATAAATCTTGAGCTAAAGCATTCCTGTTACCTTCAGAACAAGGAATGTTCAAAAAGATCAACACAATTTCATGTTTTAAGATAACGAAGTGAACCTTGTGACATTCTTCACTGGTACCTTCTTTAGTAACAACCTCGTAACAGTAACATGCCAGTTTCTAAAATTTAGTAAGTTAAGGTGTGAACCCACCCTTTTTCTGTCAAAACTCACAAGGAAGCATAGTGTGTGTAAGTGCAGGTGGGAGACTGAGTTCGTTGCTCTGATGCCTACATGGTAAAGGGCTCAAAAGTCAGGAAACACCACAGATGGTGTTGAACATGCAACTTTAATTCTTCCTGCTTGTTGTCAGGAGAGAATCAAGCCTGGAGTTGTAGTGCATTGTCTCGTACCTTGTGGTCTCTCAGGACTGCAGCTTTGTAGAGACCAAGCACTCTGCATTGATCCAGTAAGGCAGTAAAGGAGAGATTTCTAAAAGTGCCTATGGCATTTAGGAGCACAAGTTCCCCTTATGTTTCCTAAAACTTTAAGGAGAATATGAAAATCTCCACCTCACACTGTTGAACTTGTTAATGGAACTACTCAGATACTTAAAGTTTGACACATACTTTGGGCTTAGCTGGATCAGACTCCTTGGTTCAGCATATTTATCCTTGATTCAGCATATTTATGGACTGAGGTTTAAGGCTAGTTTAGATCTTTGGCTGAATCACACCTCCAGTTGATGGCTGAGGTCTAAAGGAAATATCATATTTTGGTGTTAACAAAAAGTTGAACAGTTCAAAAAAGCTTCCTTACTGTAGATGCAAACCAATTGGGTAGAGAATCAGACCCAATAATAGTAATTGACAAGCATGCAAATAGGGAGAGAGGAAATGTTGCCAGCAGAGCTGCATGCAGAACACTTGAGAAGGGGTGACTGATGTGGGGTGTGTGTATATATATATATATATATAAGTAAATAAAGGTTCTATTGATATATATATAGATAGATATATATATATATATATATATATATATCCACATATATGTTTTTAACATCTCAAAAAAGAATGTTTACTAACCAGACCGTACTAGAAAAATACCTATCTAACTGTGCAAGAGGTGGCTTTAAAATGAGAATTCCAGGAACTGAAGCATAGTGGTGAGGGAGGGGGGAGGAAGACAGAGGTATACTGATTAGTTAGGAGGTTTCCCAAAATGAAGCTTCAAAACAATTGGTTATCATGTAACATAAAAAGAGAATATTAGTAACTGTAGATTCAGATTTTACCTAAGCAATGGTAGGTGACATATATAGATGATTTGGAGGAAATGTAATTGTTTCCTATCCTATCCTCCAAGCTTATGGTCCTTATACTGAGTAAGGAATACACAAAAACAGCAATTTTCTATATAGTTATACAAGCTAAAAAAGATCACTATATGTGCACCCACAATAAGTAATCAATTATATAAAACATTACTGCAAGCCTCCACTCAGCCTTTCCTAACATGTTCAGGGCCAAATTCTCCTCTAATTTCAGTGAATTTACTCCAGATATACACTGGAAATTAAAATTAGAACTTTGTCTGTAATGTGTCCATTTCAGTTTCTGTATGTCTATGGTTCCATTCCACCTCGTTCTATATAAAAGTATTCTGATAATTTCAAATGTATTTTGAGTTTTAAAATATTAGCTATAAAAAGCAGTTGTTTACTCTCTAATGAACTGCTCTATTAAATTGTCTGAATAAAGGCCTCCTGAGGTAGGATGAACAAAGACGGATGTTGTTTTTCATTTAATAATTTAAATTATTTGAACAAAGAACCATGGTGGAGAGATGCAGTACAGCCAGAAGGGCCTCACTGTCCAATAATTTACATTGGTTTGAGACCAGTCAAACTCTTCAGTAGAATTATTACTCAGTTACTCTGGCCAGAATCAGGCTCAGGATATTTAAAGAATTCAACACAAAAGGGATTTGCTGATTTCAAACCTTCACCCAAAACCAGCAGTGACAGTACGTTATCAACATACCTGCTCATGGATGGCAACACTGTTCTGGCCTCATCATGACCATGGCAATACTGATATGCAGGGGTTAAGGATGTATGTGTGCGTACAGTCCTGCCCAGTGGCATGGCATAGTGCAAGGGGAATGGAGCTGCAATGGGCCATGTCTGCCCCAATGCAGGCGGCTGGCAAGTGAGTGAGCAGGGATGGGAATGCAATTGCTAGCACAGCTGAACAGGGAAGAAGGAAGACAATGGGGGATCGTGCAACTTTCTTCCACTATGGAGAAGGAGGGAAGCAGATATCCAGTTGCTAATCTAATCCAGTCTCTTGGATGGGAACTAAGCAGGATCACAGGACCTAATTCCACAGTTCCCCAAAATTGAGTCAAACCTCTGTACTGCTAGGTCATCACAACAGAATGTTTTGAACTTTTCCCACCATTACTGTAAGAGCTGTGCTAACTTGAGGGAGTTTGCAAAGTCATGCACAGTGCTGGACAGTATCTCAAACTGACATTTCCATTCCATTGCTTACATTTTATATCACTCAGGGCCAGATTCTTCCACCATAGGACACACACAGTTCCCCTTGGTTTGAGAAAAGATTGCTTGTAACCTGCAGGAGGGTGGAAGGGCCTTTTATCTGAGCATTTAAAAACTGCCTTGAGGGAGTTTGCAAAGTCATGCACAGTGCTGGACAGTATCTCAAACTGACATTTCCATTCCATTGCTTACATTTTATATCACTCAGGGCCAGATTCTTCCACCATAGGACACACACAGTTCCCCTTGGTTTGAGAAAAGATTGCTTGTAACCTGCAGGAGGGTGGAAGGGCCTTTTATCTGAGCATTTAAAAACTGCCCAAATAAA